TCACGCTGCCGTACATGAAGCCTCTTCCTCAGTTTGCATACCTCCCGGGGCGGGGTCTCTCTGACGCTCAGAGTAGAGTGGTACAGCACCTGAGGGAGGCTAGGCAGCTGTGTCGCAATGCGAGCCTCACCAGAGCGGATCAGCAGCGGGGACAATGTCCTGTTGGTCTCGTCGGAGGCATCACCTTTGCACTAGACCTGTCACAGGCATTCGATACTGTATCCCGCAGCGAAATCTTATCTCTGCTTGATGAACTAGGCGCAGATCCATCCCTACAAAAACTGATTCACGGCCTGCATCATCGATCCAAGTATAGGCTCCATTCTCAAGGGGCCCACCAGGATGTGGAAACCACCACAGGCATCAAACAAGGCTGCAAGTTGGCCCCTACGTTGTTTTCCGTTCTAACAGGCCGTCTCCTGCACAGGCTGATAAGCACATTTGGCTGGGACAATGTCCGCAGATACTTCACTGGGTACGCCGATGACTTTACCATGCATCGCACAATCCGCAACAAAGCGGACGTGGACGCCGCTCACAAAATGATCCTACAGCTTCTGTCGGAGGTAGAGAAACTAGGCCTGCGCGTCAATCCGACCAAATGTGCCATTCTAGTCAAGCTCAGTGGCAGAGAGGCCGAGGCCACGCTCCAGAAGCACACCTGTTGGCTTCCTGATCAGGACGGAAAACTCCAGCGTCATTGGCGACTGGGCAAACACAAGTCCTTCCCCGCCTACAAACTTGAAACACAAATCAAGTACCTGGGCATTCAAATCTCCTATGGGAATTTTGAAATGCAAACGCTGCGCTTCCGTATAGCGGAGGCTGCCAAAAAGCTCCAGCAGGTCAAGCGATTTGTTTACAACCGCAGAACTGCAGGGCCAATGGCCAGGTTGAAGGTTTGGTTCACCACCGTATGGGCCACTCTGGTCACAGGACTTCCTGAAGTCGGCCTCACGGAGGAGACAGCCAGGCATCTCCGAGGTTGGTATGCTCACAAGCTACGCTCCGTGCTTAACCAGCCTGTCCACGTCAGCCGCATCTCCACAGCTGACCTGTATCAGCTGCATTCGATTCAGGACCCGGTGGCAAAAATCCGAGCTCGGATGGCTTCGCGACTAAAAAGACTGCGCAAACGACCCGACATCCCTACCCCCGAGGCTGACATTTCCGTCCAGCTGATGACTACTTCCAGTGCACCTACGGTGCGGCTGGGCCCGTGGGCCAGACTGCACCCTGCCGCGCCGGCCTCGGCCACAGGCTTGAACCCTACCGATGTGGCAGTGTACGGTGATGTCACGTGTCTGGGACATGTCCTACAGGACTTACAGGACATGCTACGAGAGGTGGACAATCTTCCGGCGAGCACTGAGGCCTCGCAGCAGCGGTTGCACGACTGTCCTCACTGTGCGTCTGGCTTTGTCTCTGCGCATGGTCTACATATGCACATCACAAGGATGCATCGTGATCACGTAAAGAGGTACATTCCTCCCTCCTTTGATCGTAGTCGGCACTCCAAGGACGGTCTACCAGTATGTTCCGCATGCGACAAAGCCTTCCATCAATGGAAGGGCCTGCGCGACCATTTGTTGTCGGGAGCCTGTACGCAGCCGGAACGCCTGCGCCAGCTATCTCTCACCACTGAGGAACAGCTGCAAGGCCAAGCTCTCAGAGGCCTAGCAGCCCTTCGGGCTACGGTGCAGAGTTCGCCAAAAGACAAGCTCAGCAGCATAGCCTCCCGGCCGGAAGCTCAAGAACTCAAGCACAGGTGCATCTTGTGCGGATTCTGGACCCCAGACCATACCAAGATGAAAAATCATCAACGACAGGCTCATGCACAGGTCTGGCAGCGGGACGGTCCGGCGGCACTCCAGCTTTGCCAGGCCTACACAGTGCAGATGATCAAAGGACACCCATGTCCCTTTTGCAAACTGCAGGTCTACGACAAACGCAAGCACCCAGAACAGTGCATAGTTCTGTTCCAGGTCCTGCTCGGATGGCATAAGGTACAGGGTACGGACAAAATGCGGGAACAATGTTCCAAGCCTCAACCAAAGACCGCGGCGACAATGTCCCTCAGTGGCTTCTTCGGGACGGCGAACCGATCTGTTACTCCCGCTGCCTCCACCACGGTCACCACGGCGACGACGGGAACCGCCGGGGGACATCTCCCACCAGGCCTGTACTCACGCATGCGGCACATGATGAACTCAGGCAATACCTGCTATGTCAATGCGACCATACAAGCCCTACTAGCCGCGCTTGACTCTGCGTCCAATATAGCGGAACTGGGACCACTGGTCGAACATTGCATTAGCCCGGAGGCGGATCCAATGGACACTAGGCTTATCAACCCCCCAAGCCTTTTTGCTCTCCAGTCGTTAGTGCCTAGATGGCGCGTCGATGGCAGACAACACGACACCTCTGAATTTGTCACGAGCCTGCTAGAGCATCACACCGGAACCCTACAACCCGTGCGTTGGGAGGGACGCACTAATGGACTGCCAGAAAGCGAAGACGATGGCCTTACGCCGCTGCTGCTGCCTCTTTCCTCGGACTGTCGAACACTGCAGCAGGCCTGCATGGCATGGTACAACCACATGTTCCAACGCGCCCTGGCATGGGCCCCAGACATCCTGCCAGTCACAGTTGCTCGATGGATGGACGGCACCAAACGACGCACCCCGCTAGACCTGCGCAGGCAAGTCTCACTGCCGACTTGGACGGAGGGTCAGGACCGCCAGTGGCACCAATTTTCAGTCATTTCGGGGGTCTTTCATGTAGGAGCGGAAATACACTCCGGTCATTACCGGTCTTTCTGGATCCATCCGCATGGAGGTGCGTTATACGTTGGTGATGATGCCACCAGCCCACACCTCGCCTCGACCTCAGAACGCAAACATGTTTTGGAAGATTGTTACCTCCTTTTCTTGAGAAGACAGGAGTGACTCTGACTCACCCTTAAGGGGTGAGTGCTGGCCCTCCCAGTCTAGGAATGCGTGCACCACTAGGGTGCCTGTGCGTGGGAAGGCCGGACCCCACAATAGGTGGGCATGGCCCCCCCCACGTCAAGGCCAAGCGTGCTTTAGGCATGCGCAGGCTTACCCGCAGCTTTTTCAGGCTGACCCAGCATGGCTGACAAGATCCACAGCCCAGACCACAAACGTGGTCGCACCACATCTCCCCTAGCTTCAGATTCACTGATGGGCGAACCGTCTGAGCCATTTGGTGTCGATGCTCGACGCCAAACGACCGGCAGCGGCAAGCAGCGGCAAGGCAGGGCCCTGCACGCCCTTTCCAACGCCGAGCTCACTCAAGGCTTCCTACTACATGAAGAACAGCTTGCTCTACTACAACTTCAGGCCTCGCTGGTGTACAAGCTCCCCACGGACGCCCCCCTGGCACAGGCCCTAGCCAAGGCCGTGGCTGCGTGGCAGAAAGGCCACACGCCGGGGAAAGCGCACCCACTGGGTTCATGTGCACACTTCACAGCGGGAGCAATGCTCGTCCAGCTGGCCCAGTCTCAACAAAAGCCACCAGGCATTGACACTGCACAGTTCAAGGCCTTCATCAAGCTGATCGAGGACTTCGGCGAATCGCCGCATGAGGCTGTGATTCATCTGGTCGCGCACTGCTCGGCTCGACAGAACGCTCTCAAGACGCATCTCATTTTGGACTTCCGACCGGTTCTCCACTCCCCGCTTGCGCAGTACACCTCGCTAATCGCGGCCCTCCTGGATTCCTATGAAGGAGAGCGCCTCGGAAAGAAGGCCCCTGGTGGCCTGGCTCGGAAGGCGAGGGGCAAAGCTGGCTGAAGGAGTGGTGCCAATGGCAGCAGCTGGACACGGCCTAGCTCAATTAGGACAATCTCTAACTTTCACAGGAGCAATGCTCGAATTTGCCTTGTTCCTGGAGTGCACTGTCAGCCATACGCTGTATCACTCCTGTGCACAATGACAAGCAACCAGGCAAACACGCCTGTGGAAAAACCACTGACCTTGCTCCGTGTTCACATCATTGCAGCGGGCTGCCATTGTCTGGCATGCGCTAGGCAGCGTCTAATCTAGTGTCACGCAGCCTTTCCAATTGCCAGATCGCATTCTGAGTCCCTCCCAGCCTCATTGCCGCCCAACATGCCAGGGCTGCAGAGTCACATTGATCTCGACTACTACGCTGCCCAATGGGATAAAATCCGAGAGCTCGGCCTGGACAAACCTACAACGACAGCGGCGACCTCGGCAACCTCAGACGACAAGGAGCGGACCGTGCAGACTAAAGAGCCAACTGCTACATCCTTGCCGTCGGGCCGTCAACGCCCCCCTACGCCACCCCGCTCACCGAAGAAGCGCCAGAACACGGTGAATAAGATCCACAATTAGCGACAATGCCATTCTGAGTCTCGGGTGCGCACAATGAGCGGCCCTAACCCTGAAGGTGGTCAATGACCTCCTGCACCACGCTGCTAGGATGGAAAAAGTTTCGCAACTTAAAGGATCGCTAATAAATAATGCAAGCTGCGGGCGGTCAGATCCTCCATACTGTGCTCGCGTCCATGCGACTAAACACAGAAGGATCAAGTCAAGGCCCGGCACTCTACCGCTCCACTCCGCTTCGCACATGGCGGCTCCTCCTGACACTACGGCCCTGGACAGCTTTCATATCCGATTGGGCCTAGACCAGGACCCCCATCGCATGGCAACGGCTATTGTGGCAGCAATGACGGACCACGCACAAACAGTGCAACGAGTCCCTACCCCCTGCACCTTAGCGGGACCCACGTCGGCTGCCTGCCTCAGCCTCCTGAAGGGCACGGTCGGCAAGACAGTGGGAAGAGGCTACACGAGCACAGTCTACCTGTCTCATGAGGACCCCAACTTTGTCATCAAACAGGTCAAGGCGGAGCACGAGGCAGACTTTCGGAAGAATTGCATCGTGTTACGAGACTTCCGCCTCTCTCCGTGATCAACACCATCTACGCGGCAGACGGCCCGAGGGCACTCATGCCGCGCCTTTGGTCAGCTCCCCGTCCTCTCACCGGGGACACAGTCCAGCGACTCAAATTCGATATCGCGGCTGCACTGCAGATGCTGCATTCAGCCCAAATCGTTCATGGGGACGTGCACGCGGACAACATCATGGTCCGGCACCAACCGGCCAGTTTCGTACTGATTGACTATGGCGGCTGCTCGGGCGAGGCCATATACCCCTTGAGTAACGGCTACGGCGCCAAGGGATATGGCGGCGATCTACATCGGCCACCAACCCTGGAGGCTCCACCCGCCCCGGTCCGGACGGCGCATGGGGACTTCTACCGGCTGAGCCAAACGATCTTCAAACAGTTCCTGTCGGATGAGGAGCCTACCAAACGACGCAAGGGCAGCGGCGTCAATGACGGAGTCAGCAGGGGCATTCCTAGCTACATGAAGCGAGAATTGCAACTGTGGCTGGAGCGGGACCAATGGCCACAGCCCATCTATCCCAACTCCCCCTTCCCTGCTGGCTCCTGGACGGACTCTGCCTTCAACCCCGCGGTCACTGTACATGCTGGCCTGTGGAGAGCAAACGGGGAGCTCCGGACAGATACCGCCACCTTTGCCAGATCAGATGACAAGTTTGGCAACAACAACGGCTCACTGGTCCCGGAAAAGTCAGATCCGTCAGATCTCTCACCTGGCCTTGGATCCTGGGAAAAGTCTGCTGTTTGGGCCAAGTTCTACCTTTCTACGGAATTGAGGACATGCGGCCGCCACCTCCGGTATGTATACCAAGAGATCTTTCCCTGGGAATCCTACTCCAACCAGGACGGCTACTTGGTGCTGGACAAGCCCCCTCCTCCGCCTCCGAACAAGCCAATCGAGCAGAAGGAGGAGGCGGTGTCAATGACAACTCCAGCATCCCAAAGCGGGGGCAAGGCCCACTCTGCCCTGACACAGGTGTCGCCTCCATCTCCCACCTCTCCTGCGAACAGACCCGCCATGGAAGCCGCCCCAGCTGACAAAGGGTCAGCGAATCCGCAGCGGGAGCCACCACGAGCATCTACCGAGCTCCCAGGCATCTGGGGAGAACCTCCCGCCCGCCCTGCGGAGGACCATGCAGGCTCCCTTTGACCCACCGGAATCAGCGCCTCCTTTTCACACAGTCATGAAGGAAGCTCAGGTCTACGACCCGAACGCCAGATTCCGAGCGATGGCAGCCTCAGGAGGCAGCGATGTACCCTTCGACACCAAGGGCCACATGCTTCAGTCTGGAGATGCTTTTGTGGCTCGAGATCTAGCAAGGACTCCCAAACCAGGATCTCGAAAAACCACCATCGAGGATTGGTCTCGAAGCCTTCACACTGCCGCGGACCTGCTGCGTGGAGTCGCGGGGGATATGCAGGCCTACCCAGATCGCTTCCTGGAAGAGTGCCCATTCCCGAGACCCCCACCGCCCTAACGCAGCTGGGACAATGTCCGCCCATGTCATCCTGATGGCGACAATGTCGTGCTAGAGCTGTATCGGCCGGTACTCAACTCTTTCTCTTTTTCTCCACGAGCCTGTCGGCTCACACGCCGCCGTTCATCAACACGGCTCTTTTCTTTTCAGACGGCGCTGCCACACATGATGCAGTTCGGATTGAAACAGCGTGTCGGTTTGAGTGTGCTGCTTTAGCCATCAGTGCAGAATCAGCTGGGATCTGACACCGGATACTAGGCTGCCACCCTCTAATACCACCATTCCTGATCACACTTGTCGGCTCTCAGACCCAGATCGCTGGTCTGGACGGCTCAGGCCCGCCATCTCCAACCAGATGCCCCTAGCGATGTGGAGGCTCCGTAGCAGCTCGGGATGTATCCCCATGGACCTGGACGAGTCTGACGAGGAGGTCCCTGAACCGGCACGAAAGTGCCGTCGCCCGACACTCACGATGCCAACAGTTCAACGCACCCTTCGGTCGACCTTTCTGACGACTGACGAGGAAGCGGCACAAGAGGAGGAACGACAAGGCTCCGTCTGTTCAGCCCTGTGTCTATACGCTCCACAGGCGCAGGCACCAGGCATATGCCTACATCTCCCTCCTGACATGGATGAAATGGAGCACAAATTCACTCTATGTGCAGTAGAACAGGCCGCGGCGGACTACCTACATCGCAGGTGGGTCACCTTCGAGCAACTGGATGCCCTGCTGGACACTATGCCTACCACCTCTGCCTGTCGCAATGCATCGGTGGCACTGCCACAGTCTGTTGACCAGCGGATTGTCACATTCGGAGCATACCAGCAGGGGCCACTGGCCGGTCTGAGGACACCAACGCATCGTTTTCCGATGGCGACGTGCCTCCTCAACACGGTCGTGCACAACATGGCCGGACGCCATCCACGCACGACTCTATTCCTGGCACGCAACATGGCCTCTGGATTGCATACCGACCACAATCAACAAGGGGTGAACAACCTCCTGATCCCTCTCTCCAACTTCGAGGGCGGCCACCTCTTTGTGGAGGACAACGCCGGGGATTACCTGTTGGACTCCGTCGGACCCAGAGGACAAGTTCTCCCCGTGACCTTGCCCTACCTTAGTTTTGATGCCTCACGACGACACCTGGTACTGCCATGGACGGGACGCAGACTCATACTCGGTACTTATCACATTCGAGATGCGGACAAGCTCTCCGCGAATTCCGCTCTGTACCTGAAGTACTCAGGTTTCGAGGTGCGTCGCACAGCTACCAGCTCCTCTAGCTTTCAACAGCAGCACAGCTGATGTATAGCAATGCGCTGGCATGGGGGCACTGCCCAGCAGGCTTTCAGCTCAAGCTACGGAGGCTGCTGATCGCCCTCTCTGAGCCGGACGGAAGCACGTCCAATAGCTTAATCAATTTTGACCAACAGCCTCAGCTGCCGACACCTTCCCTGGAGGCTCGGTGACCTGAAAAGACTGCAGATACACACCGCTCTTCTGCCTGCGAGAGACACAACGGATCGCTCATGTCTACTGCTACTGATGCCGGCATATGCCTCTAAGGTCCGACGATGCCCTCAGGCTGCCCCTGCTGACGCCGACCTTCTGGCATGGCCGGACCAGTGCCCCTGCCCACTCGCACAAGCAAAGCTGACTCTGCAGCGCTACCTCAGCGTGAATACACCTGCAGCTTTCCTGATGCGCCGCCGGGTTCAAGATCACTGACGGCATCAAGCAAAACATCACACAAGGCAGAGGGCTCAGGGCTTAGATTTCAGGACATTACAGCACGCACAGCCCTAGGCTGCAGCTCTGGCATTCCTGCGCATTTCTTCACCACTTTAATTTCCCTCAGCCTAGTAAGGGCGCGGTGCTCAAAGAGCACTGGCAACTGGGCATGGCAGCTACACCGACAACGCCGAAGCCCTTCTTGGTGCTCAGTGACAGCACCTTGCAACACTTGTTATGGCAGGGGGCCAATGGCCAATCCTACGGAATCGTTGACATGGTTCGGGGTGCAATGCACGGCTACGTCATCTCCTGCCCGGGTACAACTCTCACAGCAGAGTACACGGGTGCGCAGCCACCCAACCCAGCGGTGTTGGAGGTACTGGCCTGGCAATTCATCCGCGTCCTTGGCGAAACGCGATCTTTCCCGGAGGAGAGCCCTGCATTGATCAATTTCCTCCGTGATCATTACTATGACGAGGTCAGCGTGCGCCTGATCCCCATCAGACAAAGCTTATTACCCCATAAGCAGAAGTCCTACGATTGGATCGCGGAGCTAAGGGATCAGTATGGCCTGGGACGGTACGAGCTCAGCGATGAGACCATCATGAGTCTCCAAGGCCCTCATCCCCTGGTCGATCAAATATACAACCAAAGTAACTGTCACTTTCGACCGACGGTGGCGGATCGCGTCATTGGCTTGCTGGTATCCCGCTCAATTCAAACGATGCGGCGATTGAAGCCAAATGCGATCCACGTTCTGGTTGTGTGCTCATGGAACTGCCAGGGGGACAATGTCCACAAGGAGATGAACGCCACGTTCGACCTTTGCAGCGCGGAGACACTGTCTGAGGTGGGTGCGGTGGCTGCTCGACACACGGGCAAGGCATGGGCCCTCAGACCATTCCTGGAACCCAATGCCAGTCGCCGGCCAATGCCCCGCACTCTTTTTCAGACATACATGCACGATGACCACCCAGGTCCCAAAAGCATGTGCCGGGAATTCCTGGCCGATTTCGAGCGCTCCTTCTGCAACGATGAGATTTTGCTCGAGACCCTTCAGGTGCATGCTGGAGACAGCGGAGAACACTTGATCAAAAGTCTGAGGCAGCCTGCTCACAAGGCTGATGTCTTCAGGTACGTCTACCACTACTATCATGGTGGCCTGTACCTTGATATCAAGATGGCGCTGCGAATGCCCTTCGATCAAATCTTAGGGCTCCTAGCTTCAGAATGGGACAATGTCCAAGTTCGCAAGAGCAAAGAGCTGGGGCACTGCCCAAATGGAGTGGAAGGGGTTCTGCCCCGGGAGTACCTGATCATGGGCATTGGGGTCAAAAATGACCACATTTTCCAAGGCATCATCTATGGACAACCGCGCCATCCCCTCATTCTCTGCGCTATCAACCACGCTTTCAGCAGGCAAATTCTTGCATCGGTCGCCAACCTGGACTACATGATCTTCTGCAAGGAACTTTGGAAGCTCCTCACGCACGACATGGGCCACACCCCAGTGACAGGATGGAACCAGACCCGACAGTTCGGACCGGTGTATTTGCTCCGCGAGCGACATTCAGCTCAGCTCACCAAGTCCAAAGAGCTTGAGTCCGACGGCCACTACTTTGAGACCCGCGGTCAGGTTCGGGTAGCATTCACCCGATGCTGGAGCTGGCGAAAAGGCTTCAAGGGCGACCCCAGGGCAGCTCAAAGAAATGAAAACTCTCTCATGCAGAGCGTGCCCCAAATCGTCTCGGAGGTCATTGAAGCCGGTGGCGCTGCCTCTGCAGCACCCCATTCAGCACAGGCGGGAGCAATGCTCACCAATGCAGGCGTCAGAGTTGTCGGCGAGACCGTGCTCAGCAGCCTCGAACGGGGTGACTTTGACGTGATCATGGCGGCGGTCGAGAAGGAGCCGCAGTACAACGGCATTTCGGCCGAGGCTGTCCTTCGCAACATCCCCCGAGGCCTGTGCCTTCACCCTGAAGATCCAGACTGGCTTTCCTGCCGCTACTGCGAGCGCGGCGGTCGGCGCTTGAAGTTCCCAAATGAGTTGGGAGTCACACACCACTTCATGCAATCCCGGCATGACCGATCAGTGCCCGAGCCACCAAGCCCTCCGCCTCGCAACAGCATGTGGTCGCAGCGCCCGGCAGAGCCTGCTAACCCTCCCTCAGCTGCAGCCATCGCAGCGTCAGGCCAGGCTCCACCACGGCGGACCGTCCGCCCCAGTGGAGACCCACAGCGTCGGTGTCTAAGGCACGCTTTGGGCTCGGCCTCCCTCCCATTCCGCCAGGTCCTACCCCACATGCGCAGGGCCACCGGCCTCTTGCAGTGAAACACGAACAAGGGGTCAATGACCAACAGGCGGACATCAAGAAGACACTGTGGGCACGCCAGACACTCCGATGCTGCCGGCGAGTACACCGCAGCCACACAAGTCTGCTGGCTCTGGCCAGACAAGTGATAGGCCTTTCAATGCATTCTCAGCCCAGAATGTGATTCCGACGGCTGCCCCCACCACACCTGTGACCTCCACTCCAGCGCAACAGACTACAGCTCGCCGCCTCTCCACCGAGGAGACCGACCCGCAGACCCCAGGCCCGGCTGACACTACATCATCCTCCCCTGTGGATGCCCCCTCTACGCGTGCGGAGGTCAAATACCAGGGACCGGTCACTACGACCAAGCTGGTGGAGTACAGTGTCAACCCCTCTCCAGAGCAAGAGGCAAATCAACTGCCAAAGCGAGATCAGATTATCCACATCTGCCAGTCTGACCAGATGCTGGAGTGGGTTCATGCCTTCGCGACCATCTCCATTATGAAGGAGCAGGCCATAGTGGGTGGCCTCACGGCCTCCGAGCAGGTCTACCTCTGGACCAATCGGTTTCGGGCACTGGGCAAGGTGCCATGGATCTTCGCCCCGATCAAGAAGGTCGCCACCGATAAAGATGCCAAATGGCTTGACATCACACAGGCGCGGCTCATGGTCGGGGCCAATGGCCTATTCACACTATCGATTGGCCAAGATGATCGATACACAGAACTCAAATCTACAACGACCTACTATGGCATAGTGCATGCCCTCTTTCAGAAGATGTGGGATCATCCGGACATGAACGCACTGCTCGAAACGGATGACAACTTCGAGATCGTGGCCTCCACCTTCAAATGCATCTGTGACCAGTCCTCCAGGAAGAGTGGCGGCCAAAATCGCGCCATCTTCTACCAGCCTCGGGATGGTCAAGTTGTCCGCAAGCTCCGTATCGAACACAACAAGGGCGACACGGCCACCTACCAATGGCATCGTCAGCGCGAGCTGCGTGAGCAGCGCGAACAGCGTGACAAGCGCTCTGGTGAAGAGACACAGTCTCACACAGACAAGCGCTACAGGGACGGCGATGCCTGGACCCGAGGAGGGTGGTGGAATCGTGGCTCGGACTCGGGGGCCAGTGGCAGCCGCTCCTGGCACCAGTGAGCTCCAACTTTGATCACCGGTGCCAATGGCAACCTATGCAGTGCAATGCGGAGGCTTTGCCTGCCATTTCCATTTCGTTTCTTCCGGAACGGACTGACGGCCTTTCTGCTGATTGCCGCCGCTGTCAGTGAAAAACATGCCTTAGCCTTCTGCCGGTCGCATTACTGTGCCTCTGCTACTAGTGCTGCACAATCACTATCCTCGTTCAGGTACACACAGCAATCTGAAGCTTGATGCCTGGCCGCCTACAAACTTGCTTCGGCTGACCACTGCCAGTTAGCTGGAAGCCTGTAGGCCGCCAACACCCAAAGGTCTTTGACCTGGGCTGTTCAGCTATAGGGTCTGAGTCAGTTTCACACCATGTGAGTGCACCGCGGCAATCGCCCGCTATGTGCTGAGCCCGCTCGCACAGCGTTCAATTGAAATAGTACGTCGTCGTAGCAGTAGCAGTAGCAGCAGCAGCAGCAGCAGCAGTAGCAGTAAGCAGTAAGCAGTAAGCAGTAAGCAGCAAGCAGCAAGCAGTAAGCAGTAAGCAGTAAGCAGTAAGCAGTAAGCAGTCAGCAGTAGCATGCAGCAGTAGCAGCAGTGACAGGTCGTCGTAGTCGTAGAGGTAGTGGTAGTGGTAGCGCCAGCGGCAGCGGTATTAGTAGCGGTAGCTGCGGAGATAGTGATCCTGGTTGTTGCTTTCATGGCCCGCCGCGATACTAGATCCTAAACCCTAAACCCAGCCTGCGCCGCCGCGATACTAGATGCCCGCATCGGCTCAGCCGTTGCCCCAACGCACCATTGCTAAGGGACAGATGGCGGTCTCATCGGAAGGTTTGAGGGTTAAGGTGAGTCTTTAGGGGTTAATGTAGGGGCCTCTATGATTAGAATAGGGTTTTGGGGCCCGTTATGCTATAAAAATAAATGAGGAACCCTCAAAGTAGTTAAGGTAAGTCTTTAGGGGTGAGGCTTCAGGGTAGCCTTGCGGAGCCCCAAGGCGACTCGCAACCGCTTTGGGGGCTTCGCAGCTCTTGGCGGCCTTTCAGCTCCGGCAGCAGTGTGTGTAAGGATGACACAAAGGTCTGATGCCAGCTCCGAGGAACATGTTGTCTT